GCCCCATCCTATGCCCCACCTGCCATTGCCGCTTTTCTCTGTCAGTGACAATGCCCCCAGTGGCTCACTTATAATCACCTCCTCACCCCGCACACACATAATCTATGGGACGTGCTGTTCTTCAGCTTCCGAAATTCCTTTAGGGAAACCAGACTTTTCCCCAAAGTCAGGTCACCAGCCCTTCCCACCTCCCCCAACCCTTGGAAGTGGGGTGGGGGGTGCTGACCGCCCACCCACTGGCATCGGGAGAAGTGGCCGCCCGGTTCTCACGTGGCAGCAACAGCCAAGAATGCCCCTCGCCCCCTCGGTCCTTCCCCTCCGCCTCACCCTCCGGGAGGTCGGTGACGATGGCCTCCGGCGAGATGCACACGCCGCGGTCGTAGACGGGCAGCTCGTCGCAGGCCAGGCTCTCGGGCCAGCTGTGGTTGTACATCTTCATGAGGGGCTCGCAGTCGTCGCGCGCGCGCTGGCACACCGACTTGCACGGCTTGATGGGGTCGTGCAGGAACTCCAGCGTGCAGATGGGCGCGTACATGGCGCAGAGGAAGAAGCGCAGCACCGAGCTGCAGTTCACGTCCACCAGCTCCTCGTACTGCTCGATGGCCAGGATGGCGTTCTCCTGCGTGCTGTGGTGCAGGTGGTTGGGCATCCGCGTGATGTTCCAGGGCATGTGCCGGCACATGGGGATGCGCACCGCCTCGCAGGGCGCGCCGCGCACGCCGAGCGCCAGGCGCAGCCCCAGGCACAGCGCCGCCAGGACTGAGAGCAGCATGGCACTGCGCTGGCGCGCCGCTTCCCCGACCGGCAGAAGGGGCCCCCGGCTTGCTGCCCCCCTAGTCTCTCGTCCTCCCTTCCCCGGGAAGGAAGTCCTTCGGGGGCACGGGAGAGGCTCTCCGCCCGCGCTGCGGTCCGCAGCGGTGCGGGGCCGCGGGAGCGGCGGGGGGTATCCGGCGTCTGGCGCACCGAGCGCTAGCAGCGCCAGCCCTCAGCCTGCGGGGCGCGGACCCGCCCGGCAGCTCCAGTCCCCGACCCCGCAGCTCCGAGCGCAGCCGGCCTCGGCCATTGCGGGACCCTATTTATCCCGACACGTCCCCTGACGTGGGCCCGGAACGCTCCCTTGGCAGCGGCGGGAGCGGCGCGGGCTCCCCCTCGGCCGCACCCGCACCCCCCCCCCCAGCCCTCGCTTTGCCGGAGCGGTGACATCATCTCCTCCGGGCCGCAGCCCAGGGCTGGAATCCTGCATTTCCCCAAAGTCCCTCCTTTTTAGTCTGGCCAGTCCTTTTTCTTCGCACCAAGAAACAGAGTCTGGCAGTCGTTTTGGACACCGGATCCAAGAGGGTGCAGGAGAGGATTTCAGGAGAGGCGAAGACGCTATTTGGGTCAAAGCTGAACTTTGCGCCCTCTCTGCCTTAGAGGTTCCCCAAGTACAGAGTTGGAGGGAAATGGGAACTTCTGCGGCCCTTTAATTCTGAATCATGCTTGCTTTCTCCAGTAGGGGGCATGAGAAGCGCTAAGCGGTGAGACTACTGTGTGGGACCGGATGGGCACGTTATATAAACAAACGCCCCCAGCCCAGTTGTACGGACTTGGGTTTTGTTGTTATTGTTGTGACTAGAAGACATGAGTTTCGGCTCAGGTTTTTCCAGAACGGCATTTGGTCTGTACCTGCTCCAGGAACAGAACTGCCGGAAGGTGCAATAATAGCATCTTCTAGTTTAGGAATGTTTTCCATCCGCCAACATTCCCCTTCTTTCTTCTCACTCCTTATTCCTCTCTCCAATGTGAATGGAACCCAGGAGAAAACACAGAGCACCGGACACCACAAGCTGAAAGATTTTTTTCCCCCTTCATGCCAAGCGATTTCCAACCCAGCAGCCTAGAATCTTGATTTTTGATGTGCTTGAAACTACTTAAGAAGTTGTGTACCGTGGAAAGCAAATGTGTATGTTTTGTGTTCTCTTTTCTCTTATTTTTATTAGGAAAAGGTAATAAAACCAACTGCTGGCGCAGGTCTCCACAGAAAACGCAGGCTTTATTGTTGCAAATGTACATCAGTCTTCAGCAGTAAGATTTCTGGTATATGATATTTTCTTAGGGCATTAGAATATGAAAACGTGGCCTCTGAATGTTAATCTTTAAAAACATAATTCAGGGGCGCCTGGGAGGCTGACTCAGTTAAGCGGCTGCCTTCGGCTTAAATCATGATGTCAGGGTCCTGGGATTGAGCTGCATTGGCTCCCTCCTCAGCAGGGAGTCTGCTTCTCCCCCCACTGCTCCCCCAGCTTGTGCTCTCTCTCTCTCAAATAAATAAGTAAATAAAATCTTAAAAAAAACATAAAAGTATAGTTCAATTAGAAATCTGAACATATGGCAGGTAGTTGTTTTTTCATTTTGTTTTTTGTTTTTTGTTTTTTTTGGCTCCAAAGCTCAGACCCACAATGTTAGTTTAATTTTGACTCTGACCAAGACTAAGAATTAAAATAGCCCAAAGAACAAAAAATACAGCTGGCATTTTATTGAGCATTTACAATGGGCTGGGCGTGGTGTTAGGCTCTTTAAATGCACTATCTTATCTTTTTAGGGAACATGAATTAAACATGGTAAGTTGAGAGGACAAATGACAAATATATTTCAGGATTCATCCAAGGAGTTGGGTTCTGTTTAGGGGAAGCCCAGAGCGTCCAAACACAGCCACGCCAACCTAAAGAGGTGTTTCCAGATAAGTCTCAAGCTCCCAGGATGCCAGACCAGGCCAATGAAATATCACGCAGGGGGGATAACCCAGATGACATCTTCAGCCATTTGCAGCAGTCAAATCCAATGAGTCTAAACCCCCTGGCTTAGTGAAAAATATTTGCGGCCCCAATTCCTACAGGGGAAGAAAATACAGTTTTGAGAAACAGCTGAACTCGGGCTCCTTTTCCTGTGAGTTGGTGGAAGAGGCGACCTTGGAAAGGGCTGTCCTTGGCACAGCCAGCTGGAACCTGCTGCATCTGTCCCAGCAAGTACCAAGTCACAACGCTGCAGGCATTGCCCTGATGTTCCCCAGGACATGTCCTTTAAGAAGGGGGGAGGAGAAGTTAAGAGGCCCTCTCTATAAATCTCTCTCCCCCCCCCCCCCCGCCAGGAGGTCCACTGGCAGCCTGTCTTTAGTGCTTCTACTTGGGGTGGGGCAGCAGTGAAGGAGTCATCAGGAGATTCCATCAACTGGCCTCCGTCTTCAGGCCCTGCCTTAGCACTCAATCCATTACCCTGTACTTTGCACTGATTTGCCAATAGCTCACGTAACTGAGGAAGTTCCCCTGGTCAGTGGCTTCTCTCTGGCGGTTCCTTTTCAGTCTCCTTAAAGGCCTGCTCCTCTGCTTGGGCTTCATGCCCAGTCCTCGCTCTCGACACGCCCTGCCTCTCCAGGAGTCTCAACCTCAGCACTCCTGACACTAGGGCCAGATAATTCTTTATTGGCTCCTGTGCATTATGGGAAGTTTAGTAGCATCTCTGGCCTCCTAGATGCCAGTGGCGGCTTAGTCCCCACCCCACTATGACAATCAAACATTTCTCTAGATATTGCCAACGGTCTCCCCTGCTGTTCTCCTCTTTGGCTTCAGTTATCACTCAGATGCCAATCGCTTCCCAAACCAGCCCTCTAGCCCTGCTGCTTTCTGGAAGTGCTTATCCAACTGTTCCTGGGGTATTTCCACCTGCACATCCCACAGGCATCTCAGGGTCAACAAATCCAAAACTGATTTGTCTTCTTTCCTCATTCAGGACTGAACTCCCAGGGCCCCAAACCAGAAAGCTCTTCCTCCTTCTGTTCCACCCTCAGCTCTGTTCCACCCTCTCATTTCGGACGTCACTGTCCCTCATCTGATTTCTAACAACATCTCCCTCCTCCTTCTCCTTGCCCATTCTCCACCCTCACATCTGACCCAGCTTCCTAAGACTTACGCCTGATGGTGCCCCTCCCTGGCTTTCAAGGCCCTGAGTGATCTGGCTCTAAATTACTCTCCTTAAAAGTGCTACACCCATTTTCCCTTGTGCTCATGTCCTTCATCCAGCAATGTTCTCTCCCTCTTTCACCTGGCTCACTTCCTCATTCATGAAACACAGATCAACCGAAGAGATGCTATACATTTGGAAAGCAAGGGTCTTTTTTTTTTTAAAGTTGCTTCTTTTTCTTAATTCCATATGGTACATCCTAATATTACAAAACATAAACCATAAACCCAATTAACTTTGTTCTTGATGCTAAAATCCCGGAGTCACATACCTCTGGGGTTGTGCTCTTGTCAGGTTATGGGTGAGGGTAGCAGTCTCACTGCAAGTGTGGCCTCAAGGCGCTGTCCCTGACTCAGTCCTATGCCCGACAGTCAGGGCTTGTCCCCCTAGCCTCCTGGGCTCTACACTAAGAAAAGGAAAAGGGTCTGGATGAATGACTGACGTCATTTCTTGAGGAAGGGACCCTTCTTTCCATTTCTAATTTGGAGGAAGAAGCTGTCAATTTTGACAAAGGGTCAAGCTGTGTGGGGACACAGCAAGTGCAGTAGCCTGGCCTTCCCGACCCTGAACTTGACTGTCTCCTAGTATGTAGTTACCTGCCACCCACTTCGGTTAGTGGAGACACGTATTCCTTCCCACCATCCCGCTCCTCACCCCGCCCCCCTCTCAAACGCGGATGCCCTTCAGGATGCTAGTGGCACCACTGCCACTGCATTTCCTGTTGGCAGCAGAGAGCAAGTGGAAACAGAAGCCGCAGCGGCCAGCGGCCCAAGCAGGAACCGCTCCCGCGATTCACCCGGGCCTTCCCAGGCCCTGGTCCCGGCTCCTGCACCTCGCGCGCCTGACCCCAACCGCCGGAGGTGGGGGTGGGCTGCGGCCGGAGGCAGCCAGCTCGCCGAGACCGCACTCCCGCACCCGGCCCAAGGCTGCGCGGCGGCGGCGCAGTTCAGCGCCCCCTGCGGCTCGCGCTGGCTCTCGGGGGGCGGCGGGCGCTGCGGTCGGCGATGACGGGGCGCGCTCGGCTCGGCGTGGCCCGGGAGGCCCTGGGCGCCTGGCTGCTGGGCGGCCTCTGCTTCTGGGCGCTGGGCGGCCTCTGCGGCCTGGGGGCGGCGGCGCCGGGGGCGGGGGCCGGGGGCGCCCCGGGGACCCCGCGTCCGTGCCAGGCGCCGCAGCAGTGGGAGGGCCGCCAGGTTCTGTACCGGCAGAGCAGCGGGCGCAACAGCCGCGCCCTGCTCTCCTACGACGGGCTCAACCAGCGCGTGCGGGTGCTGGACGAGCGCAAGGCGCTGATCCCCTGCAAGAGGTACGCGGGCCGCGGAGTGGGCGGCCGGGGGACGCGGGCGAGGTCGAGGGGCCGCTGGCGGCGCCTCCCTCTTGCCGAGGAGAAAGGTCGCAGGGAGGGTGGCCGGGGCGGGGGGGCGCAGCGCGGTCGGGGGCTGGGGTGGAGGGCTGGGCCCTCTGCACGCTGAGCTCCTCAGCGCGGCGGTGGCCGGTGAAGAAGGAACCCGGCAGGGGCGGGATCGCATCCCCGCGGCCCGGGGCCCAGGTTCGCCCTGGTCCGCAAGCTGCTGAGTCAGGCTTCAGCCTCGGGCGTCTCATCCACACCATCTCATCTCTTCCAGGAGCCATCTGCGGGGGAGGCACGTAGAATGTATATATTTTAAGAATTCTTGTTGCAGTTTTAAAGGAATAGGACAACCCAGCAAAAGGTGTGGGGAATCGAGGAGAATATCGCCCACAAGCTTATCACCCTGTTACAACTATTGAAATTTTGGTCTACCTCCTTAAATGTTTTAAAGGAGGTGTGACATATTGTGATAAAAAAATCATCTTTTTTTATATACACCATCTCTTATGCATTCTTAATCGCCATTTTATTGGTTGGCCCCCGACCTATTTTTAATAGCTGCACAACATTCCATAGAGGAGCTACGCCATTCTCTTAAACCACTTGTCTCGTAATTCACCCACATCTGCTGTGAGAAAGGGTGACCTCGTTCTGAGACCTGATGGCTATTTTGGGATCACCACCTGTCAACTCCACAGCTTTCCTGTGGAAAGTCCTATGTGTGCTCCTCTGGGGGTTATGCTGGCCTCTCTGGGTGGCGTTTGTGTGGTTCGGAGGTGCCATGTGATGTCCATGGTTTAAGGGTCCGGCGAGCAGTAAGATCAGGGGCAAATTTTGATGTCATTTCACCTAAAAGCATTTGTTGGAGTGTTAGGTATCTTGAAGGAAGTGCTGAAGGGACAGAACCTTTAGCAGTATATTAAAAAATGGAAGCTAATGCATTTGGAAGGGTAAAATGTGAGTGCTGAGGAGAGCTGGAGGAGCCAAGTCATCACGGGGGCCGGGGAGGATCTCTGAGGCCTCTAAAGAACATTGTGGCTCAGCCTCAAAGGACAGAGTACAACAATAAACAGCAACCAGCGTGTGAGCACTTACTATATACCGGGCATGGTGCTGAGGAGTTTCCACATATTACATGAAAACTCACAACAGTGTGATCTCTGTTTTATAGACAGAGAATCTGAGGTCCGGGGAGATTCAGCATTTCTTTCCAGACCACACAGCTGGGACTTGAGGAAGCTGGGTGGCTTCTGACACCTGTGCTATTAACCACGCTCTCATGCATTCATCATGCATTTTTTTCATGGCGAGCTCTTTGTATAAACAGAGTGGGTCCTGGGCCTCAGGGAGGTCACAGTCTGTGGGTGGAGTCACATGAAGGAAAATTCCCACCCAGTGAGATGAAGGGTATGCTGAGTGGGACAAGAACACTTCAGATGGGCAGCTAACCCAGGTTCCTGGAGGCACTTAAGTGTGAGCGAGCCCCAAAACCTTGCACCGGTGACCGGAGGAGGGAAGACTGCTCTGGGGGGATGAAGGTCTATTGCAGGACATCTTGGGGCAGACAGGGCTGGGTGTATTCCAAGACCTGCAGACCAGTCGCTGTTAGGACTGAAGCACAGAGGACGTGGAGAGGTTGGGATCCACTGAAGGATTTTCAAACAGTGGAAGGTCATGACTGGATTATGGAATGGTCACTGGGTGTATAGTTGCAAATAAAGGAGAGCAAGAGTAGAAGCAAACACATGACCTGGGAGACTTGTGTCGAGGTCCAGGAGAAGGATGGGTAGTGGCCATGGTCATGGTGAGAAGCGGACTCGTTAAGGAAGTATCGAAGAGGTTTATTGACAATGGAGGTGAGGGGAGGGAAGGGTCAAGGAGAGGCCCCCATTTTTGGCTTCTGATGGCACAGAATGGATAGTGACGTGGTTCACTGAGATAGGGTTGGCTTTATGCACTTCTGATTGTGGATAAACTGCTAACTTTTCTGTGCATTGATGTGAAGCCTGGTCCAATAATGGTGCATTGATGACCAGTCATGTTGCAGACAGACTGGAATGGCTCTGAGCACACTGCTGAAGCAGAGGACTGTGGCCAGGAGAAGGGTGAGGGTCCATCCCCCCAGAGGTCACATTTTCACAACTTAAAAGATAAAGTGTTAGAGTCGGACAAATCTGAGTCTGAGTGCAGAATCCTAGTGTGGGTCTTCGGGTAAATTGCTGAAGCTTTCTGAGCCTCAGTTTCCTCATTTACAAAATGAGAATGCTAATAGTGTCTAATGTATTGGATTATTGTGGGGATTAAATGAGTTCAAGTATGTAAAGCACATTGTGCAGGGTCTGACGCCTTGAACATGCTCAGTACACGGCTGCAGTTATCCCCATGGCCACCACCATCATCACCATCCTGGTGAATTTACTGTGACCCAGAGACTTGCTGCCAGCCAGCCTGTGGGCATAGAAACTAGACCGGGAAGGGCACTCAGGGGCCTTTCCTTTGGGAGCTGACTCCGAGGAAGCAGGCTTAACAGCTAAAATGTATATTTCAGTGAGTCCTGTGGTGGGCATGGTGGCCAGGATTCTTGGATCCACAAGACTAGGTCATTCTCTCCCTGTAGGCTGAACTATGTGAGGAGCCAAATTATAATCAGGAGGTTGTGAGCAAAGAGTTGGCGCAAAGTCACTGAATCTAATGATCGCTTGCTCTAGGCCAGGCTGTATGCTCAATGTTGAGCTTTCCATCATGAGTAAGACAGGCCAGCCCAGGGGAATGGGGCTGAGATTCAGTGATGCGTTCATTTTTCACCAGAAAGATGCCTAGCCTCTGGTTCTATGCTACCCCAACCCTGCGGGTGCAGACTCCCTCCACTCTGCACGGAGGCTTGGTGACTACTGTTCAGGCTGTCTTAGCAGCCCTTCTTCATGGAGGACTCCACGATCGATTCATATAGTCTTTATATGTGTGCATTATGTCTTTAGTGGGGTCACAGCCAAATCTTGCTGGCCTAGAACTTTTCTGTCCCCATGTGGTTGGTGATTTCTCATTTCTTTGTCCTGACCTATCAAGTGTTGATTTCACAGTTCAGATTTTAGAAGGCAGTTTTATTCCCCTTTTTCCCAATTTCTTGGCAAGATGCTGTCTCACAGTTCCATCTCTGGCCCTCAGTCAGAGGTAGAAAAGAATGTTTAGTGCCTAAATGCATTTTTAAGCTCTTTAAATGTAGATTTGCTGGAACAAACTCAGAAACTTTTTCAGGTATTAGCAGTCTGGCCAACAAACCAGATGTTATTTGAAGAAAATATGGATGGGTTGTCTTTTCATATTTATTAGTAAGTTGAGAAGTAAGTTTTAGAATTGGATCAACTTCTTAAGATTTTTATTTTGCATCCAGATTGTTATGGAAAATCCCACTGATAGTTACTGTGGAATGACTAGGACTTTCCAGGCTCTCTTTTCCCTGAGATGATGGAAAAGATTAAACAACTTTACAAGCTTCAGATAAGACAGCCTTAGCAGAGGATGGGGAATATTAGTAATTGATACTATTTTGTTTTCTGGTTCCAACCATCTTTCCTGATTCCTTGACTAAACTCACAAGTATTATATTTGGAAGAGGGAGGAAAAGCAAGAAGATTATTTTCATATTCCCGCAAACATGTTGAACTTTGTGGGAGAAGCAATACTGAATGAATTTTGTGAGGCCACCAGTAACTTACTGTTCTCACTTGCAAAATGGTGGCTTGGGGGTTGGAATTAATGGCGCTACTGACGTAGAGTGAACAGAGAGGCATTAAGAGAATATGCAGGGGAACGTTATGGATAATATCTTAGAAGACAAACCGACTCCCAATCTTACATGTTCAGGGATTTTGGGGGGGTAAAAGGTGAAAAGAAAAAATAGGTCTTAAATGGCGTGGCAAGTGGATTCTCAGTTCAAATTCTGACCAGATCATGTCTGTCTCAGTTTTCCCTGGGCATTCTATTTCTTGGAGAACAGAATATCATTTCTCTTCCGTATTTCTGGAGAAAACCACCTATTGTAGCAGAGAGAGGGCAGACATCCAGTGAGCGAGTCATGGGACACCACACATGGCTTCTCATCCTGGCTTCACCACAGCAAGTTCCTAACTTCTCAGGATATCAGTTTTTCATCTTTGAATTTAATTTTAATGATCGACAGTGTTTATACTAAATAGCGTTTAAGCTTTCTTCCTTAAAGACGAAATGATACCACAGACGCACTCACTGTGCTTTTATTATATCAGGCTGCTTCCTGTTTTCTACCATGAGGTAATGAACTTAACATGGATTCTACATTTTTTTCTCAGTGTGTCCCTTTGTGTAGATAAAATCAAAATGCTTTTTCTTCCTTCTCCTTTTCACCTAAACTTGTGTTCCTGGGCAGAAAAATGAGGGGTCACCTTTAAGTGCTCTGGCTGCAGACTCAAAAGGCTCTGCTCTGTGTGTGTGTGGCGGGGGGCAGGCAGAATATTCCAGGGCATGAATAGCATTGCTTACAGAGTACTCCTCCACATATCTGCTGTGGAAGATTAATTCCAACGGCTCTTATCACACTAGGTAACTTCAACGATCATTGTGTTTGAACAGCAGGGTAAGGGTGTTTTTCCCTCCAAATGTAGAGTTTTATTTTATTTTGAAGCTGTCACACTCTTACAGAAAGTAAAGACACAGCCATTTCTGCCCCCGCAATCATTGGAGAGTGAGTTGCCAACTTGATATCCCCACCACCCCCATTTCCTGCAAACAGGGCTATTCTCCTACACTACTGCAACATGGCCATAAAAACTGGGAAATTAACAGTTAACACGGATTCATTTCTACCATCTGAAATTTGGGTCTCATTCAAGTTCTGTCAGTTGTTCATTTATGTTCTTTATAGCCAAAGGCCCCAGTTTGTATTCAAGCATTGCATTTAGGTGTCCTGTCTTTTCCGT